GAGCCTACGAAGTCCTTCCTTGACAAGACATTGTTAGTGGAATTTTCTAAATTCTACGGTAACGTCAAGTAAGCACACTACCTGCAATTCCGTGCAACAAAGCGCACGCTGATTGCAGTGATCTGAACATTTGCAGCTGCCAGTCGCACGGTCATGTGTTGTAGACCCTGGAATGAAAGGAAACACAACATAGATGTAATTAACTGACCACGCTAAGGGCGACCTTTTGCATAACGACGATGGCATAGTGAGGGAAAAGCAAGCCTTTGTTTTTTAAGAATGGATTAGGAGGGCGTACCTTGGGATAGGCTGATATGGTGCCCTTCACTTGGATCCATTTGCTGTGAGGTGGGTTCACTTTTCCAGAGTCCCTGGTACAGAAAATAAGAAAGCAGACAAGGGAAATGGAGGATGAAAAAACAGAATGATGGATATGCAAAAGAAAATGATGTCAGATGGGAATCGTAGGTCTCATGGACATGGAAGGCCAGAGGGACAGTTACATGGGAACACGTGAGACGAGAACCCATGTGAAGCAAGAGGAACCATCCCATGGGAACTCATGGCATGTCAGATGGGAATTGGACGGCTCATGGACATGGAAGGCCAGAGGGACAGTCACATGGGAACACATGAGATGAGACCAGATGTGAAGCATCACATGAAACTTGATGTGAAGCTAGAGGGGCCATTACCTGGGATGCATGAGAACTGATGTGAAGCATGGATGGAGGAGGGGTGGGAGGGGAGAGGAAAGGAGGGGTGTGGGAGTGATGCAGGGCAGAGAAAGAAGAGTGGGGGGAATGGGATAGTGGGAAGGGCAGGGCAAAGTGTTGGCAACGGGGGTTGAGTTGAACGGGTGGGGAGAGCGGGCTAGAGCAGGGGAGGAGGGAGGTGGATGAGAGAGAGTAGGAAGCTTTACCAGACGGAGAGAACTTGCTTGGAAGCATCCTTGAGCACTAACTGAATTCTGAACTGGCTGCGGCTGCTGTTTTTCTGGCTGCTATTTCTGTTTATAATTCCTGCTCCTTCTCCCTCTGCATCTCCTCTTCCTACTCCTTCCCCTCTTCCTCCTCCTCTTCCTCTTCCTCCTCTTCCTCCTCTTCCTCCTCCTCTTCCTCCTCCTCTTCCTCCTCTTGCTCCTCCTCCTCCAATTCCTGCTCCCCCTGGTGCTGCTGTTCTTGCTGCTGATGTGTTTGCACCCACCCCTCCCGCTGCCTCTCTGCTGCCATCACCTGAATGTGTCCCACCTGAAGTGCCACCTGAATTTCCACCTGACCTGCTGCTGCCAGAACTGTTACCTGAACTGTTACATGCAATGGCATCTGTACTGTTACCAGCAACATGGTTCGAACCCCTGATCTTACCACGCCCATCACTACCCCCAGCACGCTGTAACACCACATTGTCCCCCTTAAGAGCATCCCCGTTATTACTCGTATCACCCCCTGCCATGTGTTGATTGCCCGTGGTTTCTCTCCCCTCACCTGTCTCCAGAGCAGAGCACCATGCTGAGACCTCAATCAGCGGGCAGCTATCCAAAAACGGGCTGCCAAAACTCTTCACCCCAATAGACTGCTGGAGGGTGCTGTAACTCTCGCCATAGGAACACAGCACCATGCTGCTGCTTCCCTCAGTACAATCAACCCCACCAATCCTCACCCCTCCTCCGGGGTAATTCACCCTGTGCTTCTCCACCTCTAGACCCCTCGTCCCGGGTAACCACGGCAAAGTATCCCTCTTCCCAAACACCGCCTGCCGGACCAATCTATGCGACCCCCCTCGATGGAACACTAATCCTCCCCCTTCTAGCGCCCAATACGACCTTGCCGCTGGTTCCTCCTCCGTCTCCCCCAACGTGAACAGCCGCTCCTTATAGATTCGATGCGTGGGTTCGAAGGGCGGGTACGGGTCGTCGTCTAGCGCGGATTTAATTCGATCCGTATCTATATGGTCGATTCCCTCGAAGTGTGGGCAGCCGACGAGATTCGCGCCGAAGATTCGCTCGTAGAGGCCGCGCCAGCCGCCCAGAACGAGGTGCGTGTCGTCTTCTGTCAGCCCGTTGCCCTGGCAGAACATCTGAACCAGCGAGAGAAGGAGGGAGGAGAAGGACGGGAGATAAGAACGATCAAGGGAAGTGGGTGGACCACCAGTGTAAAGGCCGCGTTCCCGATTGAGCACGCAATATTAGTGCGACATCAGTGCGACATCAGTGCGACATGGCGCGACACAAGGGATAGTTAGCGGCCTAATCGCACGCACCTGCCAGAGAAACGGATCGCTTGCCACTCGCCGCCATTGCCGGCAGGTTAACGCGCACGACGCAGCCACGTCAGCAGGCGGAAGCTTCTGGAAGATGAGCGACAAGACGGTCTCTGGTAGCCGTCGGATCGCGCTTCGAGGCGCGAAGACGCGAACGCGTTTGGGCGTCCGTCCGGAGGCGGGGGACCACGAGGGTGCGGGCCGATTCTGATCGTCGAATCGATAGTCCGTACGGTTGAGATTGTTGGTAACGAATTGGCCGTGCACAGACTGCGCTTTTTCGATCGAGGCTTGCGAGTCCCTGTGTGCAGAAACGTCCCTATCTGTAACGAGGATTTTTGTGGCTTGTGTGTCGGCGGAGGTGAGTGAGGCGGACGTTGGAGGAGAAGGCGTCTCGCCGATTGCGAACTCCGCCATTTTCATATGAGGCTTTCAAATGACGCAAGCTTTCAAAAGAAGCGTTGAAACGGGCTTAATTGATGCAATCTTTCAAATGGGCTCAAATGACGCTCGCTTCGAAATGAAGCTCACTCACTAATGAAACTCCCTGCGTATGGGAGACTCGAAACACTTAGGAGATGCATCTAGTGCTGCAAAAATTGGGGGTAGAACGGCGACGAGGCAAGCCGACGACAACTGATAGAGGAGGAAGAGTTTCGAAACGTCTTGGGAATGGCGAAAGGCGAAGGCTGCCGGGTTCGCGAGTCGGGACGGAGAAGCGTGGAACAAAGCTATCAGTTGATCTGCGAGTCGCAGACGCGAGACACGTTCGACGACCGAGCTTGAAACGAAACAGTGAGCTCAAGCTGAGCTCAAGGCGAGCTCCAGTGGTGAAGTGGAGGGAAGCAAACGACGAACCCTTAGAACTGCCTCGACAATACGAGCTAGGAACGAGCTGGTGATCTCAGGACGAACCCCTGCAGTGAAGTGGAGGAAAGGACACGAGAAGCGCTTAGAACTGCTTCAACAATGCAGCCTCGAAGGTGAGAGAAATGGCTGTCGTGCAGTTGCTACTACGGAAAGACAATGCGGCCTTGGAGCTGTGAGTATCGGCGGTTTATGGATTACCCGTTCGACTGACGGGCTTTATACCAGGCTGGCGTACGGCTGAGGGGTCCAAGCTATGGAAGGGTCGCTGTGGAAGGTAGTTTGCACGGGAAGGGGGAGCATTGCGGCGTGGCGGTATGGGGATCATCGAGTGCGCCGAGAATGAAAAATGCGATTGCTTTATCCCACCCCGCTGTTTACCACCTCTGGCGTTTGCTTGTGCTGTGAGTTTTCGCCTGCCTCTTCTCCTCGTGATTGTCTGGTCGCCTCGATTGCTGGTCGCGCAGAGCAGAGAAGGGGAGGGGAGAGCGGAGGAGCGGAGAGGAGGAGGAGAGGAGAGGAGAGTTCTCGCGTCGCGAAATTGGCCTCATGAGATTGCGCAAATTCAAATTCAACAATCTGGATTTCAACTTTTCGAGTTCCACCTGAAGAATGAGAGCAGCTAGATGGGTTTTGTGGGGTGGCTAGCGGTGAAGAAAACAAAGTTTCAAAACGCGACAAATCGAACTCGACATTTCAAAATCCATTTCTCCTCGTTGGGGGTAGGCTGGGTGGGTGAGCGAGTGGATGTGCTGGAGCCGCGCGTGGTTTGAATGAACGGATCGAAGCGCGTGCTGGTTGGCCAAGACCCGAGATTCAAAAATTCTATTTGAACAGAAAGAAGGCAGCCAGCCGCAAGCACAATTCACAAGATAAAAATATGCACGAGAAATATTTGCTTACTACATGAATAAATTCTACAATATACGTCCAGACCAGCTGAAAGCACCGTGGCTCACTTCTAGCCACAGCACTCCTATTACCCCAGAGAGTCCTTGTGGACACCAAGGGCACATAACTGCACTGCATCTCTTCCATCTCAATGCAATCTCAAAGCCACCCTCATCTGTTCATCCATATACTTTCTCGCCTCTGCCAGCCTCTGCTTCAACTCCTCATCCCTCCGCTCCTTCCATTGCTCCGGCTGCCGAGCCATTATAAGCCGATGCAGCTCTCGCAAGGACACCATTCCCCCAAAAACATCGGCCTGGCGACACACTGGGCATGTGATGTGGGGTGACGCCATGCGAATGTCTTCAAAGGCGGCGACTTTCGCCACTGACGAGGCGCACGAACGGCAGTAGATGTGCCCGCAGGCCAGTGCAATTGGATCGAAGAACACATCCTGGGAAAGGGTAGGTGGAAACAAGGCGGGGGAAGGGGAAGCAGCAACAAGATCAGCAGGTGCATTCCATCAGCAGGTGCATTCCATCAGCAGATGCATTCCATCAGCAGGTGCATTCCATCAGCAGGTGCATTCCATCAGCAGGTGCATTCCATCAGCAGGTGCATTTCATTAGCAGCAGATTTCATCAGCGAAGAGTTACTACCAGTAAAGGAGAAGTCAAGGTGACGGGAGAGGGTAATTCAAGAAATGAAGGTTCATAATGAGGGTGGGCAAGTGAGGACGACTGGTAGACGAAGAGCAGTGAGGCGGCTCTTTGAAATGAGATATAACAGGTAGTACTGACGACACATGCCAGGGGGAGGAGCGTGGAAAGCAGTTTCCATACCTACAAGAGTCGGATTACTAACCCAGCAGTTCACGAAACTTGGAGATTGAGAATGAACTCGTGCAAGGCTGAGGGGTAACTCAATAAATAAAGGTGGGTTAAAAGCGGCAAAACGGGTCCACGTTTCAATGCGTGACTTTATGCTGCACGAGAATGAGGATACCGAAGCAGGGAAGCAGCACTCACAAGGCAGACGGGGCACTTGAACTCCACGTGGGCGTGGAACTCGGGCCTCAGCTGTAGCTCCAGCACCTGCTCCGACCCCCCATGCTGCTGCTCATGCTGCTGGTGTGCCTGCTCTGACTGCTCTACCTGCTCTGACTGCTGCTGGTTCTCCTCCTCCTCCTCCCCCTCCTGCTGCAGCTCCTGCCCTGGCAAATGCTCTGGAGTTCCACCTGAGCTGACGGCCATTGGGTTCTCACTCCCAACACTCTGACCCCCAAGCAGACTCTCACTGCTGCTGAAACAGCTCCACATGGTATCAGCAGCAGCACCACCACCACCATCGCTGCACTCGTTTACCAAGCCCCTGTCGCCCAGACCCACCCCCGCGCTCAGCGCCCCTTCCGAGCTGCTTTGACCTTGACTGCCACTGCCGATGCTGTTTCCGCTTCCAAATACCCCCATTCCACCGCTGCCGCCCCCACCACCAGCAACAGCACCACTGCCACCGCTTTCAGCCATAAGCTGTGGTTCGGTCACTTGGTCCCTTGCCAATGAACCAGCAGAACCCTCAAAAAGGTCCAAGCTACACCCACATTCCGTTAGAGGCACTACCTCCACCTGCTCCTCCTCGTCACCGTCCTCCTCATCGCTCCACACACGCTCCTCCACCTCCCTCACCGCAGCAGGACTCCCACTCCCCCCACCTGAGAAACCACCTGGAGAATCGCCTGAACGGCCATCAGCAAGCCCCTTCCCCGGGCTCCACGGCAGCCTACCTGAAAAAACACCTGCCGCGCCCCCGCCGCCGCCCGTCCAGGTGCTCTGCATGGGCGCGAGAATGTGCAGCCAGCGCAGGTGCTGGTAGCGCCACTTGCGGTCGCAGTGTTCCTTGCTGCGCTGGGGGTCAAACCCCGGGCAGCGGGGGTCGTGGCAGTAGCGGTGCATGTGATGGTGGTTGCACCCGAACAGCTGCTGGCGCTGCCGCTGCTCGCGCCTCTCCCCCCTGGTGAGCGGTGCTGGCGAGCAGCCGGAACCTGCTTCACCATGACCGCAGCCCTGATGCCGCTGCTGTTGCTGCTGCTGCTGCTGCTGCTGCTTCAGCTGCAGCTTCAGCTGCTTCTGCTCGAGCGCATAGCTCAGGTTCGACAGCAACGCGGTCAGCTCCAGCATGAGAGGCGACCGTAAAATGCGCTGCTGCAGCAGCCGAATTCCTTCCAGTTGCTCCGCGTTTCCGCCGTTTCCGCCGGCTCCGTGGCTCTCAGCCATGTCCGACACATCCCCGTTACTGACCCCCGTTTTCACAGAACTACTGTGCACCTTCACGTACTTCTTAACGATTTTCCTTGTAGCGAGGTAGCTGAGGGCGAGGTGCTCCAGCAGGCTCGATGCTGCACAGTACATGACCTCGGGCCTGAAAGAAAGGGGGAAGAGGGGGGAGAAGTGAACCGGGGGGGAAGAGGAGAATGGAAAGCGGGAGCGGAAGGGGGATAGAGAGTTGACTTTTGAGTCAACCCGACGCTGCACGGTACATGACCTCGGACCTGACAACTGGCCTGCAGCGCGGGGATATGAGAAAGCGATAGAGAAGGGGAGAGGGAGGGGAGGTGAGGGAGGGGACGGGCGGGGAGGGGAGGGGAGGTGAGGGCGAGGGTGAGGGCTAAACAAAAGTGAACTGAGAGAACAATCCAAACAAAAACAGTCTGCTTACTTGCTGTAATCGGAGAAGCGCGAAAGTATCGCCGACAGCCCGTGCGCGTTATGGCAGCTGATGACGCGAGCCGCCTCGCGAGTGAAGCTTCGCTCGATGCTTCGCAGCTCTTCCTCCAGAAGCTTGAAAAACTCGTCGTCGCACTGAGGACAACCGGCCGCCGGCTTGACAGCGTCAAAGTTGACGGAGTTAATAACGTCGACGGGGTTGACGGAGTTGAGGGCGTTTTTGGAAGCGTCCTCTGGCGGGCTGGGCGCGCATGCTGGAATGGCGTCGCTGTGAGCTCGCGAGGAGAGGCATCGCTTAAGAATCTTCTTCAAAGCTCGGTAGTCAACCTGAGCAAACCTGGATGGGATCTCTGCATTTTCGCATGAGGGACAGAAGCGAACAAAAGGGAAGAAAACGATATGATTTTTGAGTCGACTCAAAAGAAAGCTCGGTAGTCAACCTGAGCAAGCCTGGACGGGATTTCTGCATTCATTGAGTTACTGCACGGAGGACAGAAGCGAACGAGCGAAGCGAACAAAATGAAGTATTTCAACGCGGCGGGATGATTCGAGGGTGATAACTCGTGAGGTTATAGCAATCTGAAAATCCCTTTACCTGATGACTCGTGCAAACGAGTTTGGTAACTCTGGAAAGTCTTGCCGAATTTCATGCTGGCGACAGATGGCTGTCGCTTAAGCCTTTAGGAACGCTTTAAGACGTCTTAAAACCACGAAGACAGCAAGCTACGTCGTGCCTCCCCTCCGCAAAGTCTGGTCTCGCAAAGCTTCGTAGTAACTGTTCAGATCAATCAAAACGTCGATGATTGCAAGTTACACTCTATATCTCCACTGCTCTTCCGCTTACAGGCCGGTCAACGCCTAATGGACAACACGAATGTAGGCAAAGGATCACAGATGCGGTGAACTGTAATCGGGACCTAGACTGGCAGGAGTCTGAACTGAAAGAATAGTGTCTAATGGAGAAGTAGAAAGTGGAAGTGGAAACAGGATATCAGAGGAAAGTGAAAGTGAAATCTGTCAACAGAGGAACCTTGAATTCTGGCTAGGAGGGAGGGAGACACCTACCAGCTTCTGCTCTTTCTCTGGCATATGGGCAGTCTGCCAAGAGCCAATGAATAGTCTCTTGTACCACAAACGTCTGCCCAATCACGGGCCACGTTTCTTGGTTTGGGCATTCTCGTCTGGACAATTAGCTGCCGTGATTTGCGGTGTAAGGGACCAGGTCCCGACGCTTGACGTGGCTTTGGTCTTTGTTTTGCTTGGCTGGCTAGGTTCGGGGGTTGTGGCGCCCCTGCGTGGTCTGGTTAGGGATTGTCAGGTGTGCTTCGGCTTGTTAGGCGCAATGATGATGTGACGACGTGGCGAGGAACGTGCTTCCGTTTCATGTTGCTCTGTTGGAAAACGTGCAAGCAAAGCAAGGTTACGCTGACTCGGCTCAGCAGCTTATCACTTTAGGTGCGTCGAATATTCATTCACACGGAAAAACACCTCAGCGTGTCGAATCAGCGTCACTTTTGATGATCCGGGAATGCCACGTCAACGTAGTCTGGACGAATAACAGGCTCGCTGAATATCCAGTGAATTTGGTTCGACTACCAGTAGGTTACGGTACAGCTGCTCATCACCTCACCTAGCTGTTGCATTGCGGCTGACTGGCAGAACCGCAACCGTCTACCGTGGGAAAGTCAGCAGCGCGGATTCGTTGTGCGTCGCTTCAGCTACTGCTCTCCAACCCGGTACTCGCCAAGTAGCGATACCTGTCGCAAACAGCCCATTGGCTGTTATGTGTGCCACCGCGAAAATGGAAACGTAAACGAACGTCTGACGACAATTATGTAGCAGCAGTAACCAGTCAACGAAAGAAGGTCCAAATTTGTGGCACGATATTAGACTGGAAAAAGCAAATCAGGAATCCACTGGTTTCTGAATCCCGTCAATGCATGACAGCTTGGTGAATGCAACCTCCCATGGCTTCTTGCCCACATTCCCTTGTGAATTCTGTAAACTCACGTTTTGTTTGGGCTATTTCGATGCCTTACCGTCCGTGTGAATGCTCGGTAACTCTGCGCGTGTTCTCGCCTCTGCGCCACTTGATGCGGTGTCCCTAACGTTAAGACGTTCATATCGCGCCATCTTCGAACCGCCACGTGAAGGAAATCTCGCTCAAGTCCAAAGGAAGCTCGTCGCCATGAAATTCGGGAAAGAATTTGCGAGCTATCAGAATCGCCTGCAAGAATCGACAGGTACTAAGTAACATCACGTGGCGATGATTTGTTACTAGCAAGCTTGATAGCTTCGATGGTACTGGAACTTTTGAGGAAACTCAGTCAGGCGGCGACACGTCCGTCCGACGGAATCCGTCGTTCTTGACGACTATAGGCAGCAGCGTCCTCTCTAACAGCTCTTTACGCTGTCCGACAACGCCTATTATTCCTTGAACCTCGCCCTCCCTCTCGTCCCCCTCCTCGCCCTCGGCCCACCCTTTCCCGCAGACCTTACCGCGCGCTTTCCGCAGGTGAACTACCGCGCGCTAAAGAAGATTCTCCGCCGCTGCATCTCCTCCCGCGCGCTGCGCGCCGAGCTGCACGCGCAGGCGGAACCGCACGCGGCGGAGGCGGAGCTGTACGCGGACGGGGGCGCGGAAGCGGATGCAGGGAGGGCAGCGGCGGAGGCGGGGAGGGAAGAGGCGAAGGCGGAGTTCAAGCTTTCCGTGGCGAACTGCGACGCAGTAACGACATGCGCCCGCGGGGAGCTTTCCGCGCTTTCTGCGCCAGCAGCGAACATGGTCGCGGAGGGGGTGGCGGAAAACGGGCCACCAGCAGCGGCGGATGTCGCTGGTGGCTGCGCGCAGTGCGACGCGGAGTTTTTTGGGTTGCTAGAAGCTGAGTTAATCAGCATCGAGCGGAGCTTTAATTCCGCTGCCACGCGGCTGCTGAGCTGTCACAACGCGAGAGGGCTCCAGCTCATGTGCCACGTGCTCTCGCCACGTCAGCTCTTCTCTACGGGCGGACACGGTGGCTGGAATCCGCGCTGGCATTCGCACAAGCCAGCGGCCCTCCACCACGCAGCGAGCAGCCTTCTGGAACACCTCGCTATAAGCTTCCTCGCTACGCATAAGATCATCAAGAAATACATCAAGGTGCACCGCAGAACGAGCCTCAGCCCGAGCTTCTGCCCGTGCCTCAGCGTATGCGACGGGCTCGGTACCCCGGAATCATGGGAGAAGGTGAATCATGTGAGGCGCCTCCAGGGGCGAACCGTACGGTCGCCATTGCTCATCGAAGTGACTGCGATGGTGGCGAATCTAGAGCTTGTGATGGAGGGAGAGAGGAGAGGGATGCACGGAGGAGGTCGTGGAGAGGAGAGGGAAGGATTGGGAGGAGGAATGGAAGGAGGAGGCAGGAATGGACGGAAGAGGGGAATGGAGAGCTTGAAGGCGTGTGCAGCAGAGGGGATGGGGCCACGAGGGGAGAGAGGCGCCGAGAAGAGTGGAAGCAAGAAAAGTGGAACTGAGAAGAGTGGAGCGCAGGGGAGTGGCGTTGCAGCGTCAGTGTGTCCGCTCCTCGGCTCGGAGCTGCTGCTGAAGGCGGAGTTCAGAGCAAAGGTGGACGTCACCTGCCCCGTCTGCCTGGTGAGCCCCATGTATTGCCTCGTGCACTGGCCCACGCATTGCCCCATGCGCTGCTTCATGCACAGCCCCATGTTTTGAGCCCCATGTGTTGCTGTGCGTGCCTTGCCAGGCAAAGGTGGACATCACCTGCCCCGTCTGCCTGGTGAGCCCCATGGGTTTCCTGATGTGGTGAGCCCTCGGTGGTCTTAGTCTCGCCTGTGCTGCCACGCATGCATCCCTCTCCCACCCGCCTCCTACCCTCTCCCACCCGCCTCCTACCTTCTCCCCCCCGCCACTCTCACCCGTCTCCACCACACCAGGAGGTCCTTTATGAGGCAGGAGGCGAGACCCACATGTGTCGCTTGCATGCACACGCCTCTTTTGCCGCGCCTGTGCTGCCACGCATGCATCCCTCTCCCACCCGCCTCCCGCCCTTTCCCTCGCGCCACTCTCACCCATCCATACACTCCCACCCCTCCAGAAAGGCCCCTTAGACCCCATCTCCCTAGCCTGCACGCACATCTTCTGTCGCAGCTGTGCTTGCTCCGTCGCCCACGTGCCCGTCTCTCCTACCCTGTGCCTTCATCCCTCCCTCCCTCTCTCTCCCCCTGTCCTCCTTACCTGTCATACCAGGAGGTGCCCTTTGACCCGGTGTCTCTCGCCTGCACGCACATCTTCTGTCGTGGCTGCGCTTGCTCCGTGGCGCACGTGCCGGTGTTTTTCGGCCTCGACTCCGCATCGCCCCACATCACGTGCCCTCTGTGCCGCCAGCAGGGGGTGTTTCGGCATCCCCGGTCTCTCAGGGAACTGCACAGGCTCATCATGGCAAGGTAGGGTTACCACCCACCCCCTAAGGTTACCACCAAGGTAGGGTGTTCTTTGGGCTCGACTCCGCATCGCCCCACATCACGTACCCGCTGTGCCGCCAGCAGGGGGTGTTTCAGCAGCCCCGGTCTCTAAGGGAGCTCCACCGACTCATCATGGCACGGTAGGTAGGGTTACTACCAAGGTGCGGTCTTCTTTGGGCTGGACTCTGCATCGCCCCACATCACGTGCCCACTGTGCTGCCAGCAGGGAGTCTTTCGGCAGCCCCGGTCTCTCAGGGAGCTCCACAGGCTCATCATGCCACGGTAGGGTTACCACTGCATCCAGACAGGGTTACCACCAAGGTAGCATTACTAGCAGCAAGGTACGGTCTTCTTTGGGTTGGACTCCGCATCGCCCCACATCACGTACCCGCTGTGCCGCCAGCAGGGGGTGATCCGACAACCCCGGTCTCTGAGGGAACTGCATAGACTTATCATGGCCAGTTAGGGTTACCACCGGAGTAAGGTGTGTATGGGCTGTGCTTGCTCTGTGGCGCATGTGCCGGTGTTATTCGGTCTCGACTCTGCATCGCCCCACACCACGTGCCCGCTGTGCCACCAGCAGGGGGTGTTTCGGCAGCCCCGGTCTCTCAGGGAGCTCCACAGGCTCATCATGGCACGGTAGGGTTACCGCATGAAGGTAGGGTTACCATATCGAGGTATGGTTGTCAAAGGTGCCCATGGCTTCGCATCGCCCCACATCACGTGCCCGCTGTCCGCCAGTAAGGGGTGTTCAAACAGCCCTGGTATCTCTGAGGGAACAGCACCAACTTACCATGGCATGGTAGGGTTACCAAATTAAGGTAGGGTTACCGAATCGGTGCGGGGTTGCTAACTCAAGATAGGGGTACCATTTGTCGGTAAGTTCACCACATGAAGGCAGTGGACCAGAGCAGCAGCCAGAGACTCGGAGCAAGAGAGACGACGAGGGGTGAGGCTCTTTGCTCCTTTCTCTGCTCTCGAGCCTCCCTCCCTGCCAGCCACGGCTTCCCTTGGACCCGGGACCTCTGCTGTATCCTCCACTGCATGCAGTCAGGGGAGGGACCAGAGCAGCAGCCAGAGCAAGAGAGATCACAAGGGGTGTGGTGCGGCTCTTTGCTTCTTTCTCTGCTCTCGAAGCTCCCTGCCAGCCACGGCTTCCCTTGGACCCGGGACCTCTGTTGTATCCTGCACGGCAGGCAGTCAGGGGATGGACCAGAGCAGCCACAGGAGTGGTAGGGAAGCATGAGTCTGGCTGTTTGTTCTCTTCTTTCTGAGTTCCCTGTTGGCACTGCTTCCCTTGGCCCTGAGGCTGATGCTGTATCCTGCACTGCAGGTGTGGGACGGGAGCAGCGACAGGAGTGGTAGGGCAGGACAAGACTGGTTGTTTGCTTCTTGGTCTCTAAGCTCCCAGCCAGCACTGCGTCTCCATGTTGCTGTACCGCGCCCTGCAGGCAACCAGAGGAATGGAAGGCGAGAAGAGATGAGGAGCAGAAGAGGAGGCTCGAGGAGGAGAGGCGGTACTGGGATGGTCAAATACGCATAGCTATGCACATGAGGTGACAATCCCTACTGTATAAAGAAGAGCTCATAACTGGATGTCACATGTCTGTGTTGGTTATTTTGTACATTTATGTATATAATGATGTATATAAGCGTGTCTTTGCCAGTTGTGTGAGACCTACCGCAGACGTGCTGCGCTAGTGTTTACTAACTATAGGTCTAATAGATGATGTAAATGACAAAAGTGGAATAACACGAACTGTTGTACCCGCTGAGAGATTGTTGGAAGCCCTTGAACAACACAGCGGAGGCTGCCAAATGAGGAATTTGTGACACGTGAAGTTTTGCCGAAGTGGCAGAGTTCACCTATCGCTCGCCAGTATGCCACGTCTAGATATCCGGGATGATCACAACCCGGATTGATCCATCCCAGTTTCCTGGCCGAGATCCCTCATGCACTTTCCTTGAAGCACCCTGTGGTTTGGGGCTGTAGAAATAACAAATAAATTGGTCGTTCGTGCTTGCTGGGTTTGCCTATGCTTATTCGTGGTTTATTCACTCTCGCAGGTGTTTGGCTGGAACTGGAATGTTTTTGCAAGCTATGTTTGAGCAAACAGAAGGTTCAGCTCTCTAGACTTCGACGGTGGGAACTAGATTCCTGCCAGCTTGGCAAGCTCGCTCTGGTGCAAGGGAAAAGCAACCATTGCTACAGTGCCCAACAATGAGATTCCTCCTTGGTTTGGTGCCATTTTCGGGCAGCTGCTGCTCCAACTCTCAAGGTTAATCCGCGCCTCTGTCGAACCGCCTCGATGCTGACGCGCCTGCTGCCGAAGCAGCATGCGAGGTGCGAAAGGTTGCGCGACGGGCTGCCCGGCGCGCGGGGCAAAGTCCCGCTCCCTCAGTTCCCCTTCTTCACCTGGTGCGAACTCGAGGTTCGGTTCAGGCTGGGTTCCCTCTCTGGCATTCTTCTGCAGCAATCAGCCCAGGAGCAAAACGTCATGTGGACTGGAGTCCTCTAGGAACAATCCTCGGATTCCTTCACTCACACGCATACCCTTCAGCTGTGCATTATACTCTGCAACTCCAGAATGTAATTCTCATCCTCAACGAATCAATTTCAATATTCTCAACCAGTCTTTAGTGTGAGGCGGGACTCCAGGATTTCTGTTCGCCAGCGCCTACTGTAGTATTTCCTTCCCGATTTCGACGAGTGAGAAATATTCAGCATGGCAGGACTTCTGGCTAGCCATATCGCTCTCTGTCCCTCGAGCACCGTAAGCTTCGCCTCTTTGCAAACGAGGCGAACTCCCGCGAGAGCAGCATACGCGTAAGCCTCGTAGCATTCCGCTGCTCACGATTGTCTGCAGTGTTATCGTGAGAGCTTTCATTGACAGAAGCATTGGTGGCTTGTGCAGTCATCCGCATGGCGGACGGACTCCTGGTGCACCATCCCCGCTCACTCCGTACTCAGCAAGGTATGTCGAGAGTTCTAATCCTGCTGCTTTTTTTTCTTTCTCTCCCTCAAATTCCGTCCTCTGAAAGTGCTCATGGTTTCACCTTGTACAGGATTGAGCAATTGCATTCGACGGCAACGAAGGCAGTTGAAAGCGCGGCCTCTACCGCTATTAACTCTGCTCCCACGTCTGCTGTTGCGTCATCCTCACCCTCGTTGAGTCCCTTCCGGGAAAGGATAAACGATTGGTAAGGAGAGCCTGCTTATAGTTGAACCCGAGCCCTATCTGTCATGATTCCAGATAGCCGTGTAAGGCGGCTTCCTGATCCAAATACCTCTTGTATTCGCAGGTGGGCTGATCATCTTGTAAGCAAGGCCAATTTCGTGGAAGCTGCTGCTCCATCTCTTTCCTCGGACGACGAAGAGGAATTTCTCATTTTAAAGCCACCTGTTGAGGTGGATTCTAAGTTCCAGCTCCCCCAGAAGGGGCATCAGGTTAATTATTGACGCGAGCCAGCTGTAAACGTCTATATGTTGACAGCGGCGGTCGTCAGGTGGCCGCGTTTGTATATAGAGCCCGATGATAAGATGAGTCAATGCGCCTTGCTTGCTGTAAGGTGCAAATATGGTGATTTGTTGATTCTGTTCATTAGGAATTCTGCTCCGTCTCGCACCTGAGTTTCTGTAGTACAGCTGCAAATGAAGTGTCTGCGTTCTTGGAGAGCCTGTGGGAAGCGAGCTGTAGAAAAATATCTTTCAGAATGAATGTGAGAGAGTAAGTTGTCAAACTGTACAACGCCTAAACGAATTGTCTATTGGAACGTTGTACCAGGACCGTTGGGAGAAATGCTGTTTCTGGAAGAATGGTACACCATGGCAACTGTCAAATGCGCCTTGTGTTAGACAAAAATGCGGTTTCCTAGTTCACCTTCTTTACTCTATTTGAACCAAGTGAGGAGAGTTACCCATAAAGAAACTAGGCTCGTCTTAAGTTATAGCAATTCCTTTGGTCTGGTAACAAAACGAGCAGAAACACATGTTAGCCACAAGGCAACCTCCCTGTATGCTATGCTAGTCAGCAACCTCCCTAACAACTACTATGCTAGTCCGCCTTCCTTACTCTGGGTGGGAGGGAACAACACTAAGTGAACAATGCGGAGGTGCAACTCCCGTTCCCAGCAGACAGTGGGTTAAGGCATACCCGACAGCCGCCAGACCTTTGAGTCAACTCACAGTCACCACTGCTCTAATCCGCCTTCCTTGCTCTGGGAACAACACGGCGTGGCCGACGCGGAGGAGCAACCCCCATCCCCAGCAGCCAGCGAGTCAAGGCATAGGAGGAGACAGCCACCAGACCGCCGAGCGTCCTTGCACACTCTTACAATCCAAATCTCTCTACACGGTGTTCTAGTCCGCCTTCCTTGCTCTGGGAACAACACGGCGTGGCCGACGCGGAGGTGCAACCCCCATCCCCAGCAGCCAGCGAGTCAAGGCATAGAAGCTGACAGCCACCAGACCACCGAGCGATGCCAGCCACACAGGGTGGTATGAGAGATACTGGAGATTGGGAGGGATGAAAGAAGGGAGGGGGGCGGACGAAATTGGTACACAATGAGTGCGAGAGTAAGCAAAGATGGACAGGCACACTCTTGGAGACAACCCCCATTTGGAGCAGCCAGTGAGTAAAGGCATAGAAGGAGACAGCCACCAGACCGCCGAGCGAAGAAAGCCACACAGGGTGGTATGAGATGAGAGGTACTGGAGAGTGGGAGGAGGAATGGAAAAAGAGGAAGGCGAGCGGGGAAGGGAGAGGCGAAGGAAAATAGGCATGCAACGAGTTGGATATGATCAGAGTTGGAACGAGAATGCAGAGAAAAATATTATCAGAGGCGCTCATCCTCAAATAAAGCATAAGGTGACAGCCACCAGACCGCCAAGTGATGCAAGTCACACAGGGTGGTATGAGAGGTACTGGAGGTTAGGAGGGATTGAATGAGGAGAGGGGAAAGACCGGTTTACACGAGCATGAGTTTGGCCAAAACAGACAAGCACGCCATTGGGCAGAGAAGCTGACAGCCACAAGACCGCCAAGCATGCAAGCCACACAGGGTGGTATGAGAGATACCGGACGTTAGAGAATAAATGTGAGTACGAGGGGAGGAGAACGAGGGAAAGATATGGAGAGAATGAGTGTAAGGACGATGGGGGGGGACACTCAGCCTTAAAACACTTTTCATCCTCTTGAGTTGACTTTTGAGTTGACTCAGAAGTCAACACCATTGAGAGCCACTCAGCCTCAAAACACTTTTCATCCTCTTGAGTTGACTTTTGAGTTGACTCAGAAGTCAACACCATTGAGAGCCACTCAGCCTCAAAACACTTTTCATCCTCTTGAGATGACTTTTGAGTTGACTCAGAAGTCAACACCATTGAGAGCCACTCAGCCTCAAATCAACTTCCCATGCCCTCCCTCATGTACCCTCGTTCTATCCCACACCCTCCCTACCTACCATGCATCCCACGCCCTCCCCTCCAAGAATCTCGCCTGCATGAACGCGCGGTGCTGCTCCCATGCCATGCGTGCCGCTCCCATGCCATGTGTGCTGCTCCCACCACTCACCCGCATGGCCTCCCATGCACAGCAGAGGGGTGAATTGACTGCGGGCCATCACTCACCCGCATGAGTCGTGTTATGAGTCGACTCAAAACATGAACGCATGGTACTGCTCCCATGCCATGTGAAGGCCAGGCACAGCAGAGGGGTGAATTGACTCCAGGCCATCACTCACCTGCATGATCGCGTGATACGCCTCCCACATCCCGCTCCCACATCCCGCTCCCACATCCCGCTCCCACATCCCGGCCGGGGAGTCAACAATCCCATCCATGGCTGTCGGCTCCCTCGGTACCTTCTCCTCCCCCACCTCCCTGTACTCCCCCCCACCCCCCCCCCCCCCTTTTCCCCCACCCTCCTTCCCCTCCCCCACCTCATCCCCCCTGCCCTAGAACGTTCCAACAATCCTAGCCTGAGTGTCTAAGGGAGCCCCACCAGACGGCTCCCCTGAGGCCTCCCCCGGTCCTCTTACCCTCACAATCCCTTAGACACTCTTTCCCACACCCTCTCTCACTCACTCACAGAAGCCCCTCACAACCCTCCCTCCCAACAAAAGCATCTCACCTGCATGAACACCTGGTACTGCTCCCACGCCCCGGCCAGCAAGTCAACAATCTCACCCCATACCACTCCCATACCACCCTTCCTTTGCTGTCCCTCCCAAGCGACTCACCCGCATGAACGCCTGGTACTGCTCCCACGCGCTGGCCAACAGTTCAACAATCCCATCCATGGCTGTCGGCTCGCCCGGCACTTTCTCCTCCCCCACCTCCTTGTAAGCCCCCCGCACAAACCGCCGCAACACCGCTGCCAAATCTTCCCCTCCTGCTCCTCCTCCTGCTGCTGCTCCTGCTGCTGCTGCTGCTGCTGCGTACCCCTCCCCCTCAAACTCGTCATCTCCTTCATCCCCTGTGTCGTCCAATCCGCCACCCATCCCGTGCCTGCTGATCAGGCTCGGGAGAGAGGCTTGGGGGAAGGAGAACATGGCCCGGTCTCGGAAGAGCTTGAGGACAGGCTCGGAACCGACGCCGAACCTCTTCTTCAGCTTCGGGTTGGCGTCTACATCCACCTGGGATGGACAAACAAGGGAGAGAATGCGCGAGGGAAAAAATCAGTAAAGGAGGGAAAATTCCCCAGGTGAGCGGCAAGGAAGGGCCTGCCTGCTTGCAAGGAAGGGCCTGCAAGGAAGGGCCTGCCTGCCTGGCAGGCAAATCGTCTGGCTTTTCCACTCTCTCTTGTTCATGAAGCTCTTCTAATTCCTGCTATCCTCTCTCGCACTCTCTCTTCCCTGTAAAGGTTTCCCACCTGAGCGGCAACGAAGAGCCTGCCGCGATGAAGAGCGGCAATGAAGAGCCTGCCGCGGTGAAGAGCGGCAATGAAGAGCCTGCCAGGCACATCCTCCGGCTCGTGCTCTCTCTCGTCGCCAAAACGCAACCCCAACTCATTCTATCTATCGCTCACCCTCTCGTCTCAGCGTAGAGTCCCCACAAGCGGCTCCTCTCACACTGCTGTCTTGTCAGAAAAAATGTCTCACGTCGTCCTATCCATCTCTCACTCCCTCGTCTCAACGTGGAGTCCCCACCTGCGCGGCAATGAACAGCCGGCCAGACACGTCGCCGACTCTTTTCTCACAATCTCTCTCTTCCCCAACTCATTTCAACTTCTCCCACTCTCTTTGCTGTAGATCTTCCCCCACCTGAGCGGCAATGAAGAGCCGGCCAGGCACGTCGTCCGCGGAAGAAGCAGCCTCCTTAAGCGACGCAAGGATGCGGTGGCATGGCGACGCGGAGTCAGAAGAGGTCAGGCAGTCTGACGTGGCGAAGAGAACGAACCTAGGGGGACATCGCGACGAACGGGCAGGACGGAAAACGGAGGGAGGCGGAAGGGGGTGCGGAAAAAAAAAAAAAAACAAGAATTGAATGTTGGAAACTCTTTCTGTGATCGCAACGTGGCTGCAAGCTTATCGCCATAGTGTTTACCACGCAACTTACCATCGGCCCGTGGTCTGCCCCGACGATGCCTGTGTATCGTGCTCGAAGGACGCGTCTGTGAGCGCGCGCACGCGGTACGGACGGAAATCGGAGGCCGCGGCGACGCTGATCAACGCAAGGAGCGAGATGAGCGAGAGGAAAACGCCCGCGGGAGACGCGATGCGACGGGGGAGCGCCGTGAATGGCGCAGTGCATCTAGACGTCGCCATGTGTGCGACGCGGAACGGTGCACGGTGTTAAAAGCCTTATGGTGAGGTATTGGATAATGGAGGTACGGGAATGCAGAGGCAACGGCCAAGTTAATGGCGGAACAGAATCAAAGCGATTCACGGAATAGAAGCAAGGAACAGGTGAAAAAAAAGAGAAGCGACGTACTTCAGTAGAGCAGAAATGATGGGATGGGAAGTGGGAAGAAAAATCTATGGCGGCTGCCGCGTGCCCTGCGATTTTCCCGCTTCTTGGGGAAGATTTTATCAAGGTGTTGGCATTTCAGTAGCGGCACGCATGTACTCGTCAGTGAGCAAATTCAAATCGAGGCACGTTTTTTATAAGACTACCTAAATCAAGGTTCTAAGTCTTTTGTCTAGCATCTTTGTTACTTTGCCAACCATGAGACTTTCTGTGGCTCCCGCCGTTCCGGCCCCACCTTCCAGAATTCCAGCATGTTCTTTCGGAAGAAACGTGTTGCTTGCATCAGATGAGTGCACGGCCCAAACAAACCTTTCGCCACGTCACTCCCGCCACGTGCTCTCCTCGGCTTTGGGGGACCACTGGCACACCCAACCTTCAACAAAAACCCCTTTCTTTCGCTAGTGTAACATGTCCTTGCTGGAATTGCGTTTCGCCATAAATATTTGTCCTTATTGCGAGATGAGCGAACATCGTTCGTTCTCGCGAACTCGGCAGAAGAGCCCAGTGTAGACTCCCAGTATGTGGCAGTACAAAGCTTCCATACCATGCCAACTTCGCCATAGCACGCTCGCTACGCCCGCTTAATCTCTAGAACCACACCAGGATCAAACAAGCTGCGTGGTTTACGGGATTAGATGCGTCGCGTGCTGTGCGTTCCGCACTGCAGGCCACGGATTGGCTTTCTCTTTGCTCTCATTCGCTGTGAGCTCCGTCAATTGATGAGGCAGTAGGATTGGCGGTACGCACGTACGTGTCCCTGGCGCGGAGCGTGTACACTAAGCCTCCCGCGCTGCCTCTCGCACGCGTCTGATTCCGCGTGTCTGCTCTGTCATCCGCTCGCTCACGTGCACGACATTTTGACCTTTCTTGATTCAGCATTTCTCTGCCGTAGGATCGTTGGCATCAAGGGTTCAGAGGATTTCACCAACAGTTTCACTGGACTGCCATCATGATCCCCACCGCCGCCTCCTCCACTAATACCACCGCATCTCCCGCCGCCTTTTCCGCACCCGCTGCCACCGTCGCGTCACCGCCAGTCACGGTTCGTAACAGATCACCTGCCGCATCGACAACTGTTCATTCAAGCTCGTGTTTGGCACCGGTGGCTACAGGACACGTGACCACGCCTGGCGACGTCGCAGGCTGCGCGTGCGACGTCGCACGGAACGACGAAATCGCCGGTGCGCGGGCCGTGCCGATGCCAGTGCCGGGATCTAGCTGCGTAAGTAGCTCAAACGGTGCTGCCGCGGCGGCTGACGTCAGCAGATTAAACCCCGACGGTTCAGCGGTGCAATTGTCGACTGCGGCAGGCATTCCAGTTGCTTCGACAGGGGGGCCGGCTGTAGTGGCCTCTGCGACCCGCGTCGAAGCGGGTGCAGGGGGTGCAACGAAGCCCGAGGGCGATCTGGGGTTACGGGAGAAAGCTTTGGCGGCGGGTGCCGCAGCTGTGGTGTCGGCCGTTATTATGAACCCGCTGGACGTCGTTAAGGTACGCTGGTAGTGTAGCTATGCTGTTGCTGGTAGCGGAGCATCCATTCAGTAAATCGGTTTTGTTTTTTATTCAGATAATTCTCATGTCTATCGTCTTTCTCGTCCTCTTTGCCTCGCTCTTCGCCTCCCCCCTCCCCCTCCCATTCTCAACGCCCATGCAAACCACATTCCCCCCTTGCGCCACTCCCCCGCCCGTCCTCCCCCCTCCCCTGCTTCATTAGACGCGGCTGCAGGCGCAAACAGCGTCCGCATCTCCCCGCGCCCCCGTCCGCCCGTCGCCACTCGCTTCCACCTCCCCCGCCGCAATCACATGTCGTGCGCTCTACCCCTCCCTCGCCGCTACAGTCACATCCGCAGCTCCGTCAGGCTCAGCCGCCGCTGCCGCTACAGCCGCTTCTGCAGCCACTGCTGCTACAGTGTCCGCTGCTGCTACAGCCTCTTCTGCTACATCCACCGCCGCCACAGCCGCTGCTGCTCCAGCCTCCGCTGCTACAGCCTCTGCCTGCTGCCGCCCCACCAAGTTCTGCTCGCGCCATCCAGCTTTCCATTCGGCTGTAGCCGCTACAGCCGCCTCCGCCCCCTCCCCCGCCGCCTTCTGCTCCCTCCACCGCGCCCTCTTCCCATCTGCCGTTTTTCCAGCTGTAGCGTTCCCGGCTGTAGCCGCTACAGGCGCTTCCGCCCCCGCTGCCGTGGCCGCCGTTCTGGCCCGGGGCGGGCATATGCACGGCCCTGGGGATTTACGGCGGGCGGCAATGTCTTTCTGTTGTGACGTGGCGGGATTGTACGGGCATGTGCATGGCGGAGTGGCTGCCGGTAGTGGTAGTACCCACGGCAACGGGTTCACACACGGGCATGGGCATGGGCATGGGCACGGGAGCATTCATGCAAATGTAACCCATCTGCTGCCGAACCAGCACCAGCAGCCGTATCAGCATCACCAGCCCCACCACCATCTCCCCCAACACCACCACCACCCATACCGCAACACATGGGACGTGTTCTCTCGGATAGTGCGAGAGGAAGGGGCTTTGCGCTTGTGGCGTGGCACGGGCGCCTCTCTCCTCATGGCTGTACCAACGGTTGGGATCTATCTCCCTGTGTACGATATCCTCAAGATCGAGCTCGCAGCGATGTCGATCAACGGCCAGGATCGCGCTGTGCCGGAGGCGTATGTGCCGTTGATCGCAGGGTCGGTGGCGCGTGCACTGGCTTGTGTCAGCTGCGCGCCATTGGAGCTTGCAAGGACTCGCATGCAGGCACAGAGACCAGTGGTGGGGGCAGGGGTGGGGGCAGTGGGGGTGGTAGGATCACCAGTGGCAGCAGCAGCAGCAGCAGCAGCAGCAGCAGCAGCAGCAGCAGCAGCAGCAGCAGCAGGAGCAGGAGGAGGGGCAGAAGCAGGAGCCGCAGGAAGCTTGGGTGGGGGAGGGGTAGTGGGTGGGTCAAGGCCTGGCACGCTAGCGACGCTGCGGACGATTCTGCAGCCGCATTCAGGCACTCAAGGGCTGCGCGCGCTGTGGACAGGTGTTGACGCCCAATTGGCCCGTGACGTGCCGTTCTCAGCCATCTGCTGGGGTCTATTGGAGCCCACCCGGCGTTACCTGCTCAGTAGATCTGCTGAACAGTGGGAGCAGAAACAGCGGGACAGGCAGCAGTGGGTTCAGGGTGGTGCTGGTGCTGGTGCTGGTACTGGCAGTGAGGTGTATTCTCATTCGCTTATTGAGGCTGCGGAGGAGGCTCGGCAGCTGCCGCTGCTGCAGGTGGTGGGGGCGAATTTCGCGGCAGGGATGGTGGCGGGGAGTGTAGCAGCAGCAGTGACTCACCCTCTGGATGTGGCCAAGACGAGGAGGCAGATTCAAGTAACAGGAACTCAGCTGAACACTGCTCAGACGCTGCAGCATCTCTGGAGGTGAGAAGGGGTGTGGTAGGGTTGTGGAAGGGTTGTGGTAGGGCTGGGTTGGGTTGTGTGCGGTGTGGGTGCGCTGGAGCGAGGCAGCAACAGCGACTCACCCGCTGGATGTGGCTAAGACGAGGAGGCAGATCCAGGTGTCGGGTGCTCAGCTCAACACTGCAGCATCTGTGGAGGTGAGCAGCGGAGGAGGGGGGGTGGGAGGGAGGAATAATGTCCCAGAAGTTTGTTGTCTGATTCTCTGTTTGTGTGTTTTTTTGCCGCACGGTATAACTGGTGTATCCATGCCTCGTGTGTTTGTGTTGCCAATGCAGGGAGGGAGGGATGAAATCATTATTTGCCGGGGCTGGTCCTAGAGTGTTGAGAGCTGGCCCATCATGTGGAATTGTGGTCACTTTTTACGAGGTGGTGAAGCACCTGCTCAATTAAAAAAAAGCTGTGACTACTGTCGCCCCATTTTTGCTGTAAACACGTTCTTGTTGAGAAGGATGGACCTTTCCTTCGTTCTAAATCATGATTCTCGCAGTTATTTCCGTATTCTCCCGGATAAAATACCCTAGGGTATTATGAAAACCACTGGAATAAAATGGGGGGGGGTCTCCTCATCGGTCCCCCCTCACAGCACCTCCGAGGCATGCTGCGCGGAACCGGCATTGGCACCTTTGATGCCCATGGCGAGCCGCGACCCTACACCTACGAGAGGTTTTTTGCCATCAACTCTCATCGACGCGACCCATCGAAGAAGCTCACCGCGGAGCAAGAGGAAGAATTGGCGCGCCGCGAAGCTGAGGAGCTTCGCCGGCAAAGCCTCGCAGAAGCACGTGGGACCTTCGCTTGCGCCACCTGGGGAGCTCAGGCTGAAGAAAGTGCCTCCAATGAAGAGGGGTGGGGGAGCGCTGGAGGATGGGGAACAAGTGACACTGGCGGCTAGGGAGACACCGGCGGAACCTGGGCCAACGCGAGTGGCGGATGGGGCGCCACAACTAGCGCCGACAATAGCGGCTGGGGTACTTTCCGCGAAAAACGAAAGGGGGGAGAGGACGAAACTGAGGAAACTGAGGCAACACCTGCAGTCGTTACTTTTGGCCGTCCCCCGCGTCACATTCCACCCGCACCACCTCCTCCTAACAACCCCCCGCGTCGCGATCCATGCGACACCATCATCTGGGGCAACGAGCCGTCAACCCCGCGTCGCACCGTCTACGGACCTGCCCTTGAGTCACGCGAATCGGCGTTCGTACTTGGCACGATCTCCGGGACCAACATTTCGCTCTCTGAGATTCGTGACAGAGAGTTCTTGGCGCTGATGCTGACCACCGCGCTGGAAGAAGAAGAAGCAGAGGGAGTAGCAGCGAACCTGCTCCTGTACCTGACGAAGACCCTGAGTGTGAGAGGACGTCCCCGTTATAATATTTTCTCACAATTATATTTTTCCGTTATCCTATTCTCCCTTTTCTCCTCTTTATTTTGGTCTTTATCTCATCTCAATCGGCCTACTCTTCTATTTTCTAGAGCCTTCTATTTATTTCTCTTATTTCCTACTTTTCCCACCGACATACCTAATATACGGCACCGACAGCGCCGACAGTAGTGTATACGGTGTAATCTGGGCGTAATCCCAAGTGCCAATAGTGTCAGAATATTATCTTATGCTCTAGCTGTCAGAACATATAGCTTACTTATTTGTGTAGGCTATAGTGGGGTATCCCATAGGGGGTACAACCCAATTAGGGTTTCCTATTTGTACTCACTTCGTTCATAGTCATTCCATTCTCGTTCACTTCTTCTCATGGTATCGAGCAGGTTCCCCTGTGGGAACTGTTCTTAGGGCCCACCTCCGCTACCTCGTAACTTTTTTTTCTGCCCGGAGCGCGCCCCGGGCCCTCTTACTTCCTTTTTTTTTTTCGATCTGCCCTAACGGCCCCTAGACGCCCGCGCGCCGCCCGCCCTAGCGCCCGCGCGCTGCCCGCCCTAAAGCTCGAGCGCGGCCCGCCCTAGAGCCTGACGGCCGCCCGCCCTAGGGCCTGAGCGCCGCCCGTTGTCGCCCTAGCGCCCTAGCGCCCGACGCCCGCGAGCCGCCCGTCGCACCGCCTGTGCGCCGCCCGTGCGTCGCCCTCAGCAGCTCGCCGCGCCGCCCGTGCAGCCGCCTGTGAGCTGCCTGTGCGCCGCCCGACGAACCGACCGTGCAGCCGCCCGTGCAGCCGCCCGTGCGGCCGCCCGTGCAGCCGCCCAGCGTGAGCCGCCCGCGACCGCCCAGGCCGCCGTCCGTGAGCCGCCCGTGCCGCCGCCCTCAGCCGCCCGTGAACCGCCCGTGCAGCCGCCCGCAGCCGCCCGTGAGCCGCCCGTGCAGCCGCCCGCAGCCGCCCGTGAGCCGCCCGTGCAGCCGCCCGCGAGCCGCCAGCGAGCCGCCAGCGAGCCGCCCGTCGCGACGCCCGCGCCACCCGTGCCACCCGCGTCACCCGAGCCGAACGGGCCGCCCGTGCAGCAGAGCCGCCCGAGCCGCCCGTGCAGCAGACCCGCCCAAGCCGCCTGTGCCGCCCGAGCCACCCGAGCCGCCCGAGCCGCCCGAGCCGCCCGAGCCGCCCGAGCCGCCCGCGCCGCCCCAGCCGCTCGAGCCGCCCGAGCCGCCCGAGCAACCTGAGGTGCCGAGCTCCTGCTCCTGTGGGGCTGCTGCTGCTCCTGGGCCGGCGCAGCTGCTGTGCTGCCGTGTTGCTGTGCCGCTGTGCTTCCCGACTCTTCCTGCCCGGTGAGATTGTCAGCTACTACAATGGCCACCCCCAGTGTCCTGGCTTTTGACGCTGAGGGTCGCGCCATTGACTTTGCAGTCTGGATTGAGGACCTGCAGCTGTACTTACTGTGCGATGCGATCGATGAGGTTTCTCTCTTTGACTTTGTCTCTGGCGCTGTCCCTGCCCCTCCTGCTGATGCTGACCCCACTGTTCGCTCCAAGTGGGCCACACGCGATTCTGCTGCACGTCTTGCTGTGCGTCGCCACCTCCCTTCCTCCGAGTGTGCACACTTTAGTCAGTGCAAGACCACTCAGGCCTTGTACGACGCTGTAGTTGCACGCTACTCCTCCCCTTCCACTGCTACACTGAGCCGCCTCATGCTACCGTACCTCTTCCCTAACCTTGCTGCCTTTCCCACAGTCACTGACCTCTTTACCCACCTTCACGCTAGCGACAGTCGCTACCGAGCTGCGCTTCCTGCTGCCTTCCTCGCCGAAAACCCCCCTCCCATGTACATCACCCTCTACTTTCTAGTCACCCGTCTCCCTGAGTCCCTTCGTGCTGTTAGGGACCAGTTTCTCTCTGTCTGTCCCACCACCCTCACTGTCGACCTCCTCGAGAAGTCCCTACTAGCGGCCGAGAAGAGCATAGTCGCTGTAGGGGCCTCTCGTGGTGACCCGCGCACCCCCATCTTTGAGGGGTGTTCTCCTTCCCCCCTGCTCCCCTCTGTCACCTCTGCTGCTGCGGCCGACCTCGTTGGTTTAGAGTCGGTCAGTGGGGCGTCTGGCCCCAGCGGTAGGCGCCGCTCTGGCAGGAGCAAGGGGGGCAAGGGAGCGGGTGGAGCTAGCGGGGGCGGTGGCGGAGGAGGTGGGGGCGGCGGGGGGAGTGGGGGTGGCGGTGGGGGTGGAGGTGGGAGTGGAGGTACTGGTGGCGGCTGTGGAGGCGGAGGTGGCGGCGGAGGTGGTGGCGGAGGAGGCAGTGGGAGCGGCGGGGGCGAGGGTGGCGGTGGCGGCGGTAGCGGCGGAGGCGGGGGTGGCGGTGGTGGAGGTGGTCGGAGTGGCTCGTCCCAGAGGAGCAGCATTGGGGGTGGTCAGCGCCAGCAGCAGCAGCAGCAGCAGCAGCGCTCTCGCGACGTCCCCGCCCCTCAGCAGCTCCGTGAGTGGTACTCGCAGCGTCAGCGTGGTGGGGCGTTCGGTCCCTGCGCCTACGTCCTTCGCACCGGCGACCGCGCGGGTGAGCAGTGTGGGGGCACCCACACCGCTCGCCGCTGCTTTGCCCGCTTGACCGACGCTTGGCGCCAGCAGTTTCCGGAGGCCTCTGAGATCCCCCGCTGGGGAGAGCTGTCTAGGGCTGGTGTAGCGGTGTTTGATCTTGACTTTGATGCTATCCTTGCTGCCATGTATGCTGTGACTGTTAGTGATGATGGTGACTGTTACCGGTGTTTCCCGCCCGACCCGGGCATTGGTACTGCAGTGTCAGGTGCCGGTGAGGCTGCTGCTCTAGGTGCCAGTGCGTCTGTGCTCTCAGGTGCTAGTTGTGAAAACAAAGAACGAGGATGGAATGACTATGAACGAAGTGAGTACAAATAGGAAACCCTAATTGGGTTGTACCCCCTATGGGAGACCCCACTATAGCCTACAGAAACAAGTAAGCTATAAGTTCTGACACACCCCCATAGGCAAAGTGGGGGAGAACAAGGGGTCACAAGACCAGTCAAGCAAAGCAAAGCAAAGCTCAGGGTGGATCACAAAGTCACCACGCATTCCGAGCACAAGTTCAAAGGCCACAAGGCCAGTTCACATGCAAGATCATATATAGAGATATACAAGAGCAAGAGTATATATATGCGAAAGTACAAGCAAGGTCAAGAGGAGAGCAAGTGAGGCAAGACAGGCACAAGACCCAACTGCGTGCAGCAACGCTGATGATCACAAGGCGCAAGTGCCTTGGTGAAGACATCAGCAGTGTTGGCCTCAGAGGCCACGTACGCAAGTCGCAGCTGTCCACGCTGCTGTAGCTCACGAGCAAGAAAGTAGCGAAGAGCAATGTGCTTCGTTCTGTGCTCCAGTCGCTGCTCTCGACACAAGGCCAGCATGGCCTTGTTGTCTACGTACAGGACTGGAGGAGAACGAGGCTGCTCTCCAAGGTCGGTCAGCAGGTAGGTGAGCCAGCGTAACTCCTGTGCAGCCATAGCCCCAGCGTAGATCTCAGCCTCACAACTGGAGCCGAGAACAGAAGACGAGCGGGTAGCCCGCCACGAGACAGAGCCGGAACCAAGGCTGAAGGTGTAACCCTGTGACGACCGCTGCGTAGCCTGGTCGTCAGCCCAAGAAGCGTCTGCGTGCCCAGTGAGGACCACTGGACTGCGCCCTCCAAGCACTAGCCCCATGCCCGACGTACTGCACAAGTAGCGCAACACCCTCTTCGCTGTAGCCATGTGCTCTGGTCGGTGTCTCCCAGGAGCAACAAAGCGTGCGAGAATGCTAAGAGGGTATGCGAGGTCAGGTCGTGTGCAGGTCATCAGGTACATGAGGCAGCCAACAAGCTCTGCAAACGGGCCACTCGACTCTACGGACTCATCCGAAGGCAGAGCTGAGAGCGAGTGGCGAGTAGGCAGAGGAGTGGCCTGAGGCGAGGAGTACGTGAAGCCGAAGCGCTGAAGGACCTGCTGCACCATGTGTGACTGAGTCAGGGTAATGG